GCAAGCTAAGACGTATTGACTGTGTGACGTATGACTGTGTGCCCCTGCATGTGTGCACGTGTACATGGATATGTTATGTTTCAATCCATCCCATCATGAATTATTGTGTGGGTATATCATTAGTGTGAGTTGGGAGGGCACATCGTAAGATGCACATGACACATACATCCTTCACACACATACTTCACACGTATACTCCATGCTCTCTCGGACTGACCCCGTGTCTCACTCGCCTGCCTGTCGGCATGAGTGTAATCCTAGCGAGTTCCTTCCTGCACTTGACACGCCACAGAATTCACTGAGCTCATTGCGGACCTGACCATATATGAGATGAAGCGATGATACCTCTCGACGGCCATTGGAGCCACTCGTGCCACTCATCATCGTACTGCCACTGCAAGCACCACTGCCGCCTTCCCCGCCCGATTCGCGGCTCTAAGGGCACCCGCTTGCGGGGGCCCTTTACTTGGAATTCCGAACCCATCAGTCAGAAATATCCTGAGCTCGCAATTGCGAGCTTTCCCTTGAGAAGGAGCCCTTTGTGCCTAACATTGCCGTGACGCGCTCTCCATCATTGGATCAAGCACAAAATCCAACGAAGACGCCGACTTGATGGCATCTCTGGATGCTCTTCGTCGCATCGGGCGGCGTTTCGCTTGTTTGCGGCTCTCCCGCAGTGCTCCTCTGATGCCCATGACGAGATGGCGTGCATTCGGCAGCGAGGCATCCAGCAATGCCACATCAGCACCGCCTTCGTCAAGTTACTCGTTGGAAGGGAAGGTGCAGCTCACGCAATCAGCCATCAAGGTGGGTAGGGAGGATGAGATCAGATGAGCCAGCCGTGCTCTGTGTCATTCTCATCCATATCTTTTGCTTTGTCCGGCGGTTCTATGATAGAGGCTGCATGAGTTGTCCGCCAAGGCGGCGAGGCCCCAGCTGTTGCGGCTGCAGGTCAACAGCGGCGGGTGCTCGGGGTTTCAATACGACTTCACCATCGAAGACAAGCAACAAGAGAATGACATGTAAGCTAAGCTTTCGATAAGACAATACGCGTGTCCGTCAGTCACGTTGACTGACACGGTGTGTCATGTCGTTGTGTGTGTATTGTTCCTTCCGCGTTCGTTCAGAGTGTTGCAGCAGGACGGCTGCAAGCTCCTGATAGACGACGTATCTCTGGCCTTTCTGGAGGACTGCCAGATCGACTACGTCGAGGAGATGATCAGAGCGTCCTTCCAGGTCTGTCTGTCTGTCTGCCCCCTTTATTTATTCGTGCGCGTTTGGATGTATGCCATGGCATGTATGTGCTCTTGACAGGTAAAAGGCAACAAGTCTGCATCCACGACGTGCAGCTGCGGGCACTCTTTTGACGTGGGGTTCTCATAAGCCATGAGAGGGGCGACTTGGGGCGACTTTTTGATGAGAAGGCAGGCTGCCAGTTATGTGTGTGTGTATACGATACGGCTGGTGGCTGATAGAGCATCCGTCATTTGTCAGATGTCGATGTGTGGTAGTGAGTGAAGACAAGACACCGTGTGCCTGCCTGTCTTTGTACAGATCGACAGACAGACACGTGTTGTGTATGTGTGTGGGCTTCAATTATGTACGCGTCTTTTTGTGGTTGGTTAATTCGTCAGTCATCATTCATTCTATCGCTTAGCGAAAGCAATCAAGTCATACAGGTGGGTGGGTGCATCAAGGAAGGCAATCCATCACTCGCATGTAGTGGAATCCAGCAGAACACGTTGTCGTGCTGTAAGTGAGTGCCTGTGTGTGTCTTGAGAAAGCCACGGCTCACCTCCTGTTCCAGGAGAGGCTCCTTTCTTGGACAAGGAGGTCAACCCAGCAAACAAAACAGTGAGGCAGGGAACGCGACGACAAACCATCACATGACTTACTGCACGCACTGGTATGCTTCCAAGACAGCAGTAATCGCCCCC